GCACTTTAACACTGGTAAATTGCTGTTATATCCTTTGGATTGTTTTTAAACCATACAGTAAGAGGACAGTGAAATTGATACACGGGAAGAAAAGAAAAATCTTAGGGTAGATTTTGAGGTATTTAGTATTTATTATGGTCCTTCGCTAGCATAGTTTCAGATGATTTAAACTCTCTCTCTAGGACTGTGTAAATTGGTCTTGGGATGAAATCTCACCTAGGGAATTTTATGTAATCCAGTAGTTAAGTCTGATTTTTTTAAAGTTTCCCTGTGTCTGAATGTCCCAAAGTGGCTGCTGCATTTCTATAAAATAAAGGTTTAACTGCAGTGCACAATCTAAATGCAAAATCCTTCGATGGAAATTTAATTGTGTAAAATGTGCACAAGGGTAATTAAGAACAAATTTTAGAACATTTCAGACTATAAAGTCCTCCTTCAACTAGATCACTGGCTATATTGGAAATGCTTATTTTCAATTTGCAGTTTTGCTGAGAAACATAGAATATGTCTAAATTAAGAATTTATAAAATCCAGGGCTCTTCTTGTATAACTGTAAATTTAAAGCTACTCCCACATTGTTGATATTCTAAGTTGGTCAGTTGATCACCAAAAACATATCCTGAGTTTGTGTCCTGCTCTTGCTTTCTGGTTACAATGTATGTTTTCTCTTTATCATTTATGACTTCATGACAATAATTATTCTTATTATCAACAGAAGCCATTTTTGTTGCTTTGTAAATAAATATCTTCTACCCTTTTTGTTAAAATACAAAGGTTTCTATCACACATTTGTTATGTATTTGGCAATTGTTATAATCACACTCACACATATATTGGTTATTTAAGTGATAAAGTCCAACCTATTCAGATACTGCTAACTCAAGAGTATTTCATAGATTATGGTTGGACAAATCAAAGATCAATAAGATAACACTGAGGAGCAGTCCTAGTTTTACAGTGAAAGGTTAGTGGTTTACTGTTATTTACCAACTGGTAAATGTTTTTAGAGCATTCTTTCTCTGCCTTTTGCATAGTAAATCTCCCACCACGAACAGAGTATTTAGCACTTTGCTGAATCTTATGTATTTAAAATTAAAATGCACTTTTTTATTTAACATTAAATAGAATCCTCTCCCTCCCTCATCTCTACCTCCACTTCCCCAAAATAAATAAAGCTTTTCCAAATCTTTTACAGTGTGAGCCGCTCCCCTGCTGGGAATAGAAAGGATGTTAGAGTCATTTGATGAATTGCTCGCGCTTCTGTGCGCCCACATTTTTCAATATACTTTTTTTTAACTGGACTTAAGCTGCCTAAATTTAAATGCTTCTTTTGAAAAGATGATAAAGAGGGCAAAGACTTCCATTGGCTAAGCCCTAATCTGTTTGCTTTGTTGTGATTCTTTTTTTTTTTTTTCTTTAACCTATTTATAAATCTACATCTACATACAAAGGTCATTGGTTGGCTGAACTTAAACCATTTTTCTCAGTAAATTTAATTAAGAAAATACAGTGCAACTCATAAGCAAATGAGTTTTTTCCTAGTTTTAAACCAAACCACCCTCTTGAGTGCTGATTGCCTTGCCCGACCCCTGGTGATACAGAAACAGGCAAAATCAAAAAGGACATTAAAGCTTCATTAAATCTGAAACACATTTAGTACAGTGACATATCTGCAGGCCATTTCAGAGAAGATTACATACTCTCTTTTGTAAGTTTCCTAATTTATAATACCTTGACAATAAAAACTGGGGAAATGCAAGTAGATTAATAGACCAGTAAGGGTAAAAGATACAGAATGGCCCCAGGTCCATCTGTCTCTGAAATATTCACTCATAGCATATGTATGTACTCCCTCTTCCCCATAAGGGTTCAGTGTTTATTTTGACTTTTGACAGCCTCAGCCATATCTGCTAAGAGCCCTTTTCCTTTTTTACCTTCTCCTAATTGAACTTGATAAAAAGGTTCTAGAGCTTAGCTATATATTTCCTTCTATTTGGCCACCAGACAAATAGTGTAGAACATAAACACTGCAGCTGCATTAAACCTGAAAGGGCAGAGACATACATGGAAGGCAGCTCCCTCTCCCAGGGCCTTAAAATGACTGCTTGTGGTGCCAGCCTTATAGTACCGCTGCCAGTTTTCACTAGTGCAGAATTGGAATCCTTGGCTTGCCACTGGAGCAGCCCAGTGGTGACACTGTGGGAGAGGAAATGATTGTTGCACGTCTCTGGTCAAGAACAGGGACCATTCTCTGCCCTCAGATTGAAAAGAGGTCAGACCTGTAAGATGCCTTAGAAACAGTCCTCGCAGGAATGTAGTTGACAAGTAAGACTGAGAGCTTCCACAGGATATCAGGAAAGTGCACATGAGTAAAGCCAGTTCCAAGAATGTTGAGGTCACTAGTTCAAACATTGCCACCTGTTCCCAAGCAGGCTGGTACGGAGATGCTCCCTGCTGAATTTTCTCTCTGTTCTCCTGATGGAGGTCTCTTACAGAGTAAATGAATATCATCAGCCAGCCTAATTACCTTTTACCAGTTGTGAGAGGGGGCCAAGTAGATGAGTGCACATTCCCAAGTCTGCTGTAGCCTTGCCTCTCCATAGAATAGTGATGACTTGAGAATTTGAGGCTTTGTGTTGAAGTGGAAAAGGTTCACATTTTTCACCTCATCCTACTCTTTTTTTTTTTTTAAAAGTCTTTTATCATTGCTTAGTTCTTTAATCTACAAGAACCAATGGCCAGTGTTGGCACTGGCCAGCTAGTTTAGACCTTAACTGTATATATGGTGGGCAGGTTTCTTCTGCTGGTAAGCTACGTGGACAGAATTCTTCCATAGGCCCTAATGACATGTTCAACATGTACCAGAGTGAATGGTGCAGCACCTGTAGAAGGACTTCAGATAGGATGTTCTAAACGTTTTCTAGTAGTTATTAAGCTGTCAGCTTTTTCAGACGAGAGACCCTCCTCTTGCTACTTTTTCCAAATGAAAGAATGTGCAAAACTCATAATCTACAGATGGGTGTGATGATAGGTGACAGCTTTTGGTGAGCTGTCACTGCCTGTCAGTTCAGTATAGAATGGTGCAAATGCCTAGCCCACCCATTACTGCCACAAAAGACCATAATGGCTCTTTCTGAATCAATGTGCACATTCTCATTGGCCAGAAACACTGTATTTACAGAATGTAAGTCAAATCAATAGCCTGTATTGGGTGAGGGTGGAGTGGAGGCAGTGGAGAGCTGAGTCCCTCCCCTTCCTAACTAATAGCAGCATATAGACAACAGACATAATCACACAAAACTGTGAAAGGGAGTTTGATTAACATCCGTACTCTCTTTCCTTCACTCTATAGTTGAACAGATTAATGACATCCACCAAATGAAACAATGATAGTATAACTTTATGTCTTGAAAATCTGAGAATTCTGAGTATACAAGAAATGAGTACAAGGTAACAAATCTTACCAAGTATTCATATATATATATGTACACACACACATACACACACACACACACACACACACACACACACACACACACACAAATCCAAATGAGTGTTGGCCCTTTCCAGGTAGTCACCTTACATGGTAATATGGTTTATTCCTATTACATTGCTGTTGCTCAAACTGGTTTTAGAACTTTAAAAATTAACCTCAGCATCTTCACATCTATCCTTATTAAGGAGCAAAATATTTTTTCTTTGAACTTGGCTTTGGGTTTTGGTAATACCCATAGGCCGTTCAGACCTTAGTCAACAAATAATTTACATGATCAAAAAACAGAGGGGTATAATTTTAAGCTCAAGATAAGATGCAGTTCTAATAAAATGAAGTCGTTGTTCTTCTGTGACTTGAAATGATTCTAAACACAGTTCCAAAAGAGGGAGTTCAAAAATGTTTGAGTAGTGTCAGTGTCTTTGAGATAAGTGCATAACTTCTCAGGATCTAGAAAAGCAATGTAATATGCTGGAAAGAACCCTGGATGAAGTTGCAAGCCTTGGGGTCAGTCCCCAGGCTTCTACTGATGAACTGTGTGGAAACATCTTGAATGGGACTCTGGGGTTCTAATCTGTAAAACAGATTGATGTTTCCTTGGATCCGTTCTAGCTTCAAAGTTCCCTGATGTAGTGATTCTACTTTGAAAATATTTACAAATACCTATAAAGGATTTCAGACTTGACGATGGGCCACATTATGAAGTTGCAAAATTTAGCCACAGTTTTTCTTTAAATAAATTATGGTATGTTTGGTAAATTTGATCTTATCACTTCATATCAATCCTATTCCTGGTTGAATCATTTTGTTTTCACAGATGAGAATGCAAAGACCAAAATTAAGTGAGTGGCCTAGAAACACATAACAGTTTACAAATTAAATAAAATTGGGAGCTGTAAGGATTCAGTTACCCAATTTCAGACCTATAGTTCCAACTTCATAGTCTTGAACTGCCACTTTCCCACTAGTAGTAGCTCTTTTCTTCTAAATATAAATGGTTGAAAAAAACTAACAAATAAGTGAAAATAATGGCAAAATTTTCTATTTCACGTGGCCCACTCTGCATTTCCTACAGCTCTTCCTATAATACTTATAACTGAAAATTCTACAGAGCTGTGGACTAGGAGCAATTAAGTGTTTCCATTTTTACAAGAGGAAAAGCCAACAGTATCCTATGGTTTTACATCTCTGTTTAGAAGAAACTGTCGTACACTTGTAAATGTGAATAATGCCCGTACAGCTGACAATATTCCTAAGAGAAACTATGTAAGGGTAGTGTTTAGTTGTTAAAAATAGAATATTTTATCAGGGATACAACATTGTCCAGTGTAAATGTTCATTCTATATATAGCTTTCAATGTAATTACAGCAATAATTTAGTTTGTGCATTTAAGGTTGTGAGCTTTTTATATTTGCTGGATGTAATTCTGAAATTTAGTACTTGTCTGTCTTAAGATCTGCCCTGCATGCAAATCTATAACTAGACAAATATTATTTCCTTTCTCAGCTTGCTCTTGGGAGGTTTCCATATCCTCAGGTAAGATTGTTCATTACTGCCATTTTCCACTGTGACATTCATTCCTATGTATGAAGTGCAGGGAGCAATTGTGAACATTTGAGCCACATACAAATAAATCTGTCCTGTTAAATTGAAAAGTGATATCTTAAAGGAGTCATTTAGGAGTCTCTATTGATTTTTGATTTTTTTGTACTCCAGATTTTTTTCCTCTTTGTTAAAGGTTGAAAGCCATCATTGTGCTCTTCCTTTGTGTGGCACTGGTAATGTTTTTCCTCATCCCAACCCAGTAGCATGTGCTCTTACTGAGGTTGGAAGAGGGGCACAGCCTTTTCTTGATACACTATTTGCGTTTTTGGATTCAATTAGTTATTTGAATTAAAGGATTGAGGTGAAGGGTGAAAATATCTAATCTAAGTCATTATTTTTGCTAAGCAAATAGATGGGCCCCCAATTTTATGTGGCTGTGATTTCAAACATTTTCTTTTTAAAAAATTTGTCCTTCCTATTTACATTTCTAGGAAAATAAAATGTCCATTATGTTACCATTGCTGATAATAATCTCTGTAGTAATTTCTTTAAGATTTTTATTATAGAAGGGTGCTAGCACTTAAAATATAAAGCTATTTTGTGGTTTGAAAATGATTCCCCAGTGTGTGTGGGGAAATAAGTAAAATGTCTAGAGGGATGAAAAATGAATGGTTTGACTGTTGGCTGATGCTCCCTGTTTTTCTGGCATCTTGGTCTGTACAGGCCAAAGTGCCTGGAGGCATGTCTGATTTAAAGGTGGTGTTGGTCTCTGCTCTTTAAGCATCTATTAACTTGCTATTATTATGCAAATAAGTGTTGTATTACACATACTAATTTATGCATGGTTAGATTATGCAGATGCATCACAAACATGGTTATTGAATAATAGGATGGGGCTCATTCTCTCTACCATCTTTATAAGCAGTTTGAAGCAAATTGTCCTGGTACCCATGTGGACATTTAAAGCCCCTTCACACGCTGAAATGTCTCTTTTGTATCCTTTTTCTTTTACAGTTAAAGCCATCAGATAAGTGGAGGAGAAAGCATCCAGGTTGTTAGGTTCAAGAGTGTCAGTCTCACTTTTCAAATTTGTAGGATTCTTTGTTTAAACATAATCTTTTCCTTAAAGAGAAGATCCTAAGTGTAATCACTTGGCATGCATGCTCGCATTTAGTGAGATTTTACTGTGTACAGCCTTGCTGCTTAGCTCTAGGTAGCCCATCAAATTAAAATCACATTTTCAGGATTTATAGCTCATTAGAATATTTATCTTGGTAAGCCTCTTATTCTGTCAGTAATTTTTAAACAATTCACTGTTTGGCCAGTGTATGCAATCGCCTCAAATTTTGTAAGTGAAGAGAAGAGGCACTATATAACTTCTCTCTCAAACAAGTCTTAACAGAAAACTTGTATAAGCCATCTAAGAAAAAAAAAATACCAAAGATTGGGAATGTAGCTGTATTCTTGAGATTCCTAATGCCTAGAGTATTTAATCAGTGAGATTTGATAAGTGATAAGTCTAAGAAACGATTGCATTTGACAAATGAAGCTTTTGCAGGCTCTGGTCGAATTTAGAAAGAGGCTGTCTACCTTTGCAGTATTGTTTTCTGGAATGTTTAAGTATATGTTTACTTGATCAGTCGAGTGGAAGTTGGAAAATTCTAATGCGTTGAACTCCCTAGGTAGCAATCACTGTTATGCCAGAGTGAGGGGAAAACTGTATTCCTTGAATCGTGATAGAATATTGTCACCAAATTGGGACTTTCATTTCAAATAATAGAAGCAGGTTTGATGCCATCAGGTCTATTTCCCAGGTCTTTCAACAGAAGTTTGTGCACTTCATTGCTGGAATCATTAATGACTTTTGATGGAGTTGGCATTTATTTTACAGGCTTTGTACAATAGACTGAAGATTGGGAAAGGTTACTTTACAGATTCCTTTTCTACCCTTTTGCCTTCAAATAAAGTACATGAAGAAAAATGTTTATTTTTATAGTATCGCGGGGACTGGATTATGAAATAATACCTTCTCTTTGGCCCATATTATCTCATTTGAACCCCTAACCACTCTGTGTGATAGCCTCCCCTCATAAATTGGACAAACAGGATGGCTGATTTGCTCACTGTGGTACTGTAGGTGGTTTGGGGCCATTGAATCCCAAGTGGAATAGGCAGGAGTGAATCACACACTCTCAGGAGTGGAAAGTGATCTCAGACAACATCGAATCAAACCTCTCAACATTATCTCTGAAAAGCAAAGTTGAACACCTCCAGTGATAGGTAACTCACTAGTTTACAAAGCAGCCATAGAGTCAAAGTTTTATTTACCGGGCTGAGGACTGCCTCATCTTAATTATTACCCACTGGTCTGGCCCTTGAACATATGAAAGATTTTCATATATCCTTAAGATCTCACAGTTTTGCATCCCGTCTGTACCCAGGGCTGGGTACTCAAAGTCAAATCAGGGAACCAGATCTCAGCTGCCTTCACTAGTGGCAAGCTGAGGAGACTGGCCTGTTTGAAAGAACTCTAGACCAGGAGCTAGAAGATTAGGATTAGAACCCAGCTCTAACAAGCTCCGGTCACTGCAGGCCTTAATTCTTGCTTTGGCCTGTTTCCTCATCTCTAAAATGAGCATCCTGATACCTACCTGTCCTATCTGGTTAGAAGTATGCAGATCAAATAAGATTATGGATATGAATTTCTAATCCTCAACCAAAGGTTGCAAGAGGATGTGCTTGCAACCTGCCAGCTGGGGAAAGAGGGGAGGCAAGGCCAGCATCCAGACTCGTCCTTCCCCCAGCCCAGCGTCAGTGCTGCTGACAGCGTCGTTAGCAGCGTCTCTTCCTGCCGGTGACACAGTGTGTATCTGGTGGGGATGCAGATGAGGGAGGGGTGTTGGGAAGATAGCAGGGAGAGTCAGTAGCCGGGGACCAACATAAAGGTTAAAGGACTGGATTTTTGTTGAGATAATCATTCTCCATGAATTTCATTGTTTGGGGGGTTGGGTTTTTATCTGTTATTTGAAAACACTGTCTATTTTAGTTTCCTTTAGGCCTTAAAGTTGCGTAGCCTCACTGGCATGTAGTTTAGGGCTCTATGGAAAGAAAGGTTAGGAGCCATTATAAATACACGGTCTTATTACTACAGCTTATAATAGGAGGAACAACGATGTCAGATTCACCTAGCACCTTTCCGACATCCAGCTCCAAAGCACTTGCTGTTATCTGACTCGGGACTGTTATTTCCAGCCTCCAGGTGAGCAGACTGAGTCTCAGAGAGCTGAGGCGCCTTGCCTTGGGGATGAATGGGTACAGTTAGATCTAGGACTTGCAGGCGACTAAACCAAATGACTGGCTCTGTGAACTCTGATTTTGGTTTACTGTTCAAACCACTGCCCTCCTTCCCGCTCAGCCCCACCAAGCCCTTCTCCTGGCTCTCCTTCTCTGCCCTCAGGAGGCCTCCTGTGTAGATGAGAAGGGTTGTGCCATGGAAGATGATGACAAGACCATTCCCTAGAGCCCTTTTGCTTTTCTTACCATGTGTTTAGAGTGATGGATCTGGAGGGACCCAAGAGCTCTCACTGACCCTAGTGCCATTAAACTCTGGGTGCCTGGGAAGGATATTCCGCAATAGCATAATGAAAACTTGTGTTTTTAAACATCTGGTAAGCAGATAGTATCTCACTTTCTTGAACAATTCAGCTTTAATAGTCATCGGGAAAAATGTGCAAGTCCGGACAAGGACTAGAGCTGTGTATAGTTAATCATGTAGATCCAAATCCAGTTGACTTAAAAAACGTGATGGTGGGCAATGGTTTGTTTAACGGCACCATAATTTAGGAGAAATGAAAAAGATTGCCTGCTAAAAACTGTCATCCTTCATTCAAACTTTACAACAGTACCCTGCATTAGGATGACAGTAAATCCATTTCGGAGACTTCTCAGGGGATGTGCCAGCTCTGGCATTTGGAAATTGGTAAGCAAGATGCCACAGGAAAGTGAAGATAATATAGATACAAATGTATTTAAGGTACTTTTGCATGTGTAAAAATGTTCTTCTTTTGGCTGCATTTCCCGATCTTGGTTAATAAGTTACATCAAAATAACCTGAAGTTAAAAAAAGGAAAAAAATCTGAGCAAATAGTGCCCCTGGTATTGTAAAGCTTTGAATGTTTTCACACCCCATTAATTTATTACTTCTCTTTCTTCATCTTTAAATTTCATTTTTTTTTTCAAAAATTCCGACTCCCTGCTGCTGCAGTGATTTTCATCTTGTTGTTAATTTTCCCTGCTCCATATGGAGCTCCAGACATTTCACCTGGAGGCTGTACTAGATTTTGCTGTAGTGATTGTACTTCCGGAGGCCAAAACTGTCATTTAGGGTTCCTGGTGCATCTGTCTGCGCCAGGCTTTTCACTGGCATGGGAGAGTGTGAATAACAAATTGGATGCACCTGAGATTCAGATGATTAGTGTGTTCTGTGAATCTCCACGACTTGTAAGCAGATAGCTCTGGGGGGCCGGGGTGGGGGGGGGGGGGCGGGGGGGGCTAAACAGCAACTGGGTGAATCTGTACTCACACCTTACATTTGGGGCTTTGCGGGGGAAGTGCAAACATCCTCGGCAGTCTGAGTGCAGAGAGAGTAACAAATATTTCATCCTGCCTTGTCATTGATTAGAAAAGAGCCTTTAATTTCATTTCACCCCATGTTGTGATTAATTTGCATTCTTTGTCAGAAGTTAATGGAGTTTTTTATGGTTCACTCTGAAATCCTTGAAGACATCAGACTTGATCTGATGTTTATACAACCGCCAGCGGAGTTTTTTCGTTTGATTGATGGCAAGCTTGATGTTATTCCAAACGGCTTTTTAAGCTGTTTTTAAGAATTATTTGAATAAAATGCAAGCAAGATATTGTTGTAATGATCAAGATTATCTGTTAAAAATCTGTTTCAAATAAGGAAGGTGATAAGTAGTAAAAAGGATCAA